AGAGACAGAAAACAGAACAGGAACACGCAGTTCCCCAAGAGCTAAAGAACACAAATCTCTGCCCTGACCCCTCCAAAACACAGGGATGACATCATCAAAGGAGTTCCTGCAGAGAGATTTCTTCTTCTACTACTAAATTAATTTACTTGTGTTATGGTTAATTTACTTGTGTTATACATTGCAAAAACAAACTTCAGGCAGCCACCAGCATTTAGACTCCACACTGTGCAGACTTGTTCCAAACAGGTCTGGGCAGCAGCTGGAAATGTTGATCCCTGCCAACATCCCAAAGCTACACCTGATTCTCACAGGAGACCATCTCCAGCAGAACTGAACAGATGGAAAACTACAGAGCAGGAAGTTCAGCAGGTTAGAGCAACAAAGCTGCTGCCCATGATCAAAACTGAGGGGTATTTAAACTAATCTTTTAACAGACTTTTAAGTGGCAATTTGGAAGCCACATTCAGGCTTTACGCAGCTCAAAAGATTAGGACACGGACCACGCTAAAGTTTGTGCAAGATGGAACTTTTTGAAGTTCAGCTGAACATCTTTGAAGACGATTTAGAAGCTTTAGACTCCAACTGTTTGGATCCCAGCAGCCTTGTTCCCGTAATCCCCGCTCGCACTGGGCTGCGACTCGCCTGCCAGCACACGGCAAGCTGCCAGCTGTGACAAGCACTAAACATTAAATCCATCAACAACCTGATGTCTGCTGGCTCTCAGGTCCTGTTATTCACAGGACTTTGGCTGGCCTGGCCAGAATTCATTCACCTTCCCTGCAGGAGGTACCGGACCCTGGAGAGGAAAACACTCGGGATGCTCTGCAGGAGTGACACACTGAAGGAGCAGGGCCAGGGCAGAGTGCAGCCTCCAGCCAGAGGAGAGCCTCAGCCCAAAGCCAGTGACTGCTTGTGGGAGCCCAGCTGGCCCTGCACTGCTCTGTCCTTGCCCAGCTCTCCTCCACACACCAACCACATGTTCTGCAGAAACCCAGATTTCTATCTCAACAACAACTGTATTGGACGTTATTCTGGCACGTAACCAAACCACCACTGACTCTTGTCTGCCCACATGAGCAAGATTTTATCCTCTGAGATCCCAAAGATCCACATCCTGCAGCAAAGCCTTCCCTTCCTCCTGGCACTGCTGACATGCCTTTACTTCTCTGCAATAACAAAGAGAAGCTCTGAGCAGAGGTCACCAACAGTGTGCTGCATCCTCTGCCCCACTCCCAGTTTAGAATAAAGGTCAGTAGGTCTCCTTCCACCTCTGCACATGTATCCTGTCCTCTCTGAGAGCTCAGCCAGCTCCTCCAGCAGCTGCCCAGCAGCTCCTGGCACACCCCTTTGGAGCTGCAAACACTTCTCAGAGTCCCACCCACAGTGCTTTATCTGAACTGCTGGTGGTACTGCCTGGAGAGACCTCAGAACAGCCCCAGGGCAGAAGAACAGCCCTGAAGGCACCTGAATCCCTGCAGGAGCACAGCAGCTCCAGCTCATCCATCCCCTAGGGCTCATCACCCTGATGTGTCCCATCCCACACAGCCCCTGTCCCCCCACAGCAGCTCCACAACAGAGCTGGGAACAGATTTTGTATTTCCAATACATCATCCTCCTCTCCCTCACCAAGCTCCAGCTCCAACCCCCAGAGTTAACAGCTGCCTCACATATCTGAAGGTCTGGAAGGAGCAATCAAGTTGTTTATCCTGAAAGGCCTTGAAGCAGCAGCATCCCCCAGGCCACAGCGAAGTCACAAGTGCCACAGCCACTGCCAGCAGGCAGGAGCAGGGGCTGGAGCTCCCTCTGTGCAGGGCAGTGCTGGGACCCAGCCTGTCCCAGCCTCCCTCCCAAACAGCCACGGAGGATGTGGATCAGGGCACTCAGACCACAGCAGCTCCACTTGGCTGGCACTGCTGCCACAGTCAGGCAACCAGAGGCCACACATGGGGATGGAAAAGGGAGGCTGAATTTCTACATTTGAAGAAAAACACCATTTGCATCTCAGAGAACAGTGGGGTGCAACTGGCAGGGCTGACACCCTCCTTCCTAATAAATCATTACCCCTGACTGCACAGCCAGCCACTGATCCACAGCATTCCCAGACTCTGCTGACCTGTTTATCTCCCAGATTCCTGCTGGGCATCAGCAAACAGTTAAATTTTTCCAAGTTCTTGAAGTCTCACTAAGCACTACTTTTTTAAATATGGAGCATAATTAAAGATTTTTTCAAAGCAAGGTTTGGAAAGGAAGGTGCTTGGCACAGGAAGGGCTCGTTCACCCCAAAAGACACAGGAGCTGCTCACTAAAACCAGCATCAGGTTTTGACACCCCAAAAAAGAAAGAAGATTGATTTTAACAAACAACTGCAGCTCCCTGCTCACAAGAACAGTCTGTTTCTGCCCAATTCAGGCCAAAATCAAGTTTCTGAAAACCCCGACACAGCTACAAAACAGAACTCTTGTTTTTGGCTGGTTGCCTTGGAGACACAGAGTGATCTCTTGGGAAGAAACCAAGGAATGCATCTTAATACGAGCTCCTTCCTTTTCAGGCATCAACACTCAGCCTTATTACCCAGAGTACAGCCACAAACATCCTCTAGGTCAAGAGTAAACAGAAATCTTTCCATTTGTCTCCCATCAGCATCTTCTAGACCCTGGCTACAAAGTCATACCCTGTGCTTGACTGAGGAGGAAGGAACTGAAAGAAAAATGGGTGTTTCTCCCATACCACATTTAACTTCACCCAGAAACTTGTGTCTTGACTCCTTTCCTTCAGCTCCATCTTATTTTTCAAAGGATCCCTATTTGCTTCAGCTTCCTGAGTTCTGCAAATATAACAGGCAGTTTCTCCTTTGCCTTTTAATCTCTCTCCTCTCAGAAACCAAATGTTTGCACAAGTTCTCCTGCAGCACGACCCCACACACAGCTCTGTGTGCACCTTGCAGTATTTGGCACCTCAGCTGCACAGCAGGGCAGATAATGCTGTTAAGCTGATAAGAACAGGGGCAGAGAAGCTCCATGACCTGCCCAATGTCACACAAATCCACCACTGACACACAGCAGTAGTTAACCAATACCACATGACATTTTAGGCTGGGAAAGGTCCTCTGGAGGTCTGTAGCCCAAATTCCTGACTTCAGCAAGACTGACTTGCCAGCTGCTCAAAGCTTTTCCCTGGCAAGTTTCAGACAGCTCCAAGGCTGGATATGCCATGACTTCTCTGGGTTTGACCAACCAAAAAACAATTCAGTCGCTGCACTGGACTTGGGCTCATCTACCTCCCTCCTTTTTGTACTAACAAGGATACCTTCCACTGGGCACCATTTAACTGGTTTTACTTGAGGCTTTGTTCCTTGTGCCCCAACAGCATTCCCCGCTCAGAAAAATCAGCTCCTCAGCTCCATCAGATGTAGGGCTGACCCAAATATAACCATACCACAAGATTCTCTCTGTGTCCTCTGCTCCATCCTAAGAGCACTCACAACTGTAAGTGCTGCTTTAATATTTATACCACACACCTGATTTGGTGTAAATCAAATTAACACCCCACATTGAACCTGAACAGAGCCAAAACAGCTGCAATGAGTGCAAGCCAGCAGGTGTTTAGGCAGCAGAACAACTCCAGTCTGACCAAGCACTTCCCTGTCGGAAAACAAGGAAAAACCTCAGGAGCACTGAGCAGGAATCAACACTCCTGCTCATTTGCTTGCTCTGTCTCTCAAGGTGCTCCAGACCTGCTCCCTGCATTAGTCACCATCAAATTACCACAGGCTGCATGTGCTTAGGGAGGAATTTGACAGCGTTAAGCCAGGGAAGCAGCACTGCCTGCCTCCCTTCAAATGAGATGCATCCTGCTCAAAGGATTGCCTCAAATTATAATGCTCAGTGCCTCAGGCACCCATGTGCATTCAGTCCCTCAGTTATCTATTTGGATTTGGGTAACGGAAATGTCCCACAACAATTCCCACTATGGAAAAACATGTCACACCACAGCCCTAAAAGTCGGGATCTGCCACCTCAGTGCGCTGCCTTCAGAGCCCAAAAGTCTCCCCACTCCTCTTGTCACGTCCAGATGCATTTCAGCAAGCTCTACAAAGATTAATTTTCAATTTAGGGCTCACAAGGATCTATGTTACTCCCCAAGCCGTGAGAAAATCTGGCATTCACTGACTCCAAAGGCATTTGGAGCAATCAGCATCTCCTGGATCGTCAGAGCTGTAGCTGCACATTCAGAAGGAGCAGGTGGTATAATCCTATCAATGGGAGTTAAGTTCTTGCTGATCTCTTTCTGCCTAATCGAGACCTAATTCTTGAGCCTCTATCAATAGATCACTAATGAGGGGAGGACACCATTGCCACACTGCTGGGGGACCACGGGCAGCTCAACACGTCCAACCCCTCAGATACAGCGAGCAGAGCAGAGCGGGAGGGCAAGCCCACAGCTGCTCCAAGCACGCAGCTCCCCCCGATTTCCTAAATTCCTGAAATACTTTACTTTCCATTATCGTATCTCCAAGAAGGGCTGGGGTGGGAGAGGCCCTGCAGCTGTCACAGGGCATATCCCACCCTCAGCTGCTTTGTGGGACAGTCCCCAGTGTCCCCGCCCTGAGGGCAAATTCTGTTTAACACACCAAGTCCCATCTCCCAGCTGAGGTTCCCCTTTAGGAACCCTTTAAAGTTCCAGGAGACAGTAAAAGCAAATAAGGCACTGGGCTTGCAGAGTCGCAAACTCTCCTAATATTGGATACCATGAGCAATATTAACCTCTGGTTCCTTCCTCACCATTCTGAAATGTCCTTCACATCAGTGTGGTGAAGTTCCACCTTCCCTCTCCTGTTTTCCAGTCCGTTTTACCCCCAGCTTCCGCCAGCTCTGAGGGCAGCCTCTGGCTCCCACAGGGGGCAAACACACTGCCCTGTTCCCAGCAGTGCCTCATGAGCAGCCAGACCCAAAGCAGCCCTGGCACTCACAGCCTGGCTGCTGAGCAGAGTGCCCGGTTACCTTCTTGCGCCGTGAGCCCGTCTTGCTCATGCAGGACCTCTCCAGGGACAGGTACCCCCCGATCACTTCAATCTCGTTCACCGTGGGGTAGCGCTTTTTATGGGGTACCCCCACTTGAGGCCCATCAGCGTTCTCCACGGCTTTGCCTCTCGCTTTGCTTTCCTCCTCCTCCTCCTCTTCCTCCCGCTGCGGCCTTCCGCTGGCATCGGGGACAGCCTGCAGCCCCGGGGCCACGGGCTTCCTTTTGGGCACGACAGTGAAGGTGCTGCCTCCCCTCTGCTGGGGGGCAGAGTGCGGTCTGTAGAGGGGCACAGAGGAAAACTCCATCTCCAGGTCGGGGCCAGCTCCTCCGGGCTGATCCGCCAAGCTCCCCGTCCTCGCAGCCGGGCCAGCCCCGCTGTCCGGCTCCACAATGTCATCGATGTAAGTCACGGGTACCAGAGGATCCAGAGGCGCCGCTGGGGAAGTGATGGGCTCTTCCTGCTCGGGGGCGGGAGCCCTCGGGGGCTCCGGGGGTGCCTTCTCCTCCGAGGGCGGTGGCGGCGGCCCCGGCCTGGCAATCTGGGCCGGCGGCCGAGCCGGGCTGCCCTCCCGGCGGGGCACGAACACGAAGGAATTGCGCGAATTCAGGCGCAGCTTGGCCAGAGCCTGTGCCTGCAGGTCGTGGGCTGGGATGGCCGCCAGGTCGGGTTTGGGAGCCGGCAGGATTTCGAAGGAGCCCCCGGCCCGGGGGGCTGAGGCGGAGAGCGGCCGAACGGCGCCGGTGGCACTGGGGGCCGGACTGGCACTGGGCAGGGGCGACACGGCCACCTCGGCCTCCTCCGGCTTTGGCCTCCTGGCGTTGGCTCTGGCATGGGAAGGGCTGGTGGATGGCACTGGTGGCCCCTTGGGCGTTGCGGGGCGGCCGGCGGGGACAGCGCCGGGCTCGGGGACGCGGGCGCTGGGGAGCTGCCCCCGGGGAGTGACCGTGAAGGAGTTGGAGCTGATCTTGTGGACAAAGCAGTTGGCCTGAGGGGCCGCAGCCTTGGGGGCAGCTGGGGCCGCCTGGGGGGCTGCAGCCCGGGGGGCAGCCGGAGCGGGATGGGGGGCTGCGGGCTCGGGGGTGAAAGCCCGGGGGGGAGCCGGGGTGGGTTGGGGGGCTGCGGGCTCGGGGGTGAAAGCCCGGGGGGAAGCCGGTGTGGGCTGGGGGGACACGGGCTGAGGGGTGACAACCCGGGGCGGTGGTGCAGGCTGGGGGGTGACAGCCCGGGGAGGTGCCGTGGGTTGGGGGGTGACAGCCCGGGGAGGTGCCGTGGGTTGGGGGGTGACAGCCCGAGGGGAAACCGTGGGCGGGGGAGTGACAACCCGTGGAGGGGCCGCGGGCGGGGGGGTGACAGCCCGGGGGGAAGCCGGCGGCAGGACTGTGGGCTGGGGGGCCGCCGGCACCGCTGGAGGGGTGGCGGCCCGGGGGGGAGCCGGGAGCGGCGGAGGGGTGGCCGGGACGGCGGGCGGAGATGCCGGTCCCGCCTTTGGCGCCGGAGCCCGGGGGAAGCCGGGCCCCTTCTGGAGGGGCGCGGGGGCGCGGGGGGAGCCGGGCCCCGCGGGCGGAGCGGGCGGCGCGGCCCGGGCAGCGCCCGGTCCCACCTGCGGCGGAGCCGCGGCCCCGCCGGTCCCGGGCAGCGCGTCCCCAACGCGGCGACGGCGGCCCCGCGGCCGCTGCCCGAACTTCTCCAGGAGGCGGCTGACGGTGCCCGGCTCGGCCGCCTCGAGCGGCTCCGGCGGCTCGGCCGTCTCGTAGATGACGACCTGGTCGGCGCGGATCTCGGCGAGCGCGGCGCCGCGCCGGGCCAGCAGCTCCCGCAGCGGGTCGGCGCCGGCCGGGTCCCGGCGGCGGGCGGGCGGCGCATCCCCCGCGGCGAAGCAGGCGGCGGGGTCGGCGCGGGACTCGATGATGAGGATGTTGTCGGCGCGGATGGTGCGGATGCCGGGCACGGCGCTGTACAGCTCCAGCAGCTGCTGCAGCGGCCGCGCCGCGCCGCCGGGCCCGGGCCGCCCCTGCCGCAGCCGGCGCCGCTCGCTCTCCAGCCGCATGAAGGGGTTCTCGCGGAGCGGGCCCAGGCTCTCCGCCACCACCAGCCGCTCCCCGGCCGGGGGCTCGGCCTCGCCGCCCGCCCCGGCCAGCTTGGCCCGCTTGCGCTCCAGGATCTCCCGCTGCCAGGCGGGCGCTGCCCGCGGCCCGGCGCCGAGCGGCGGCTCCGCGCTGCTCATGGCGGCGGCGCTGGGGCTCTGCGGGCCGGGCCCCGCCGCACCGGGGCGGCCCCGCGGCACCGCCCCCGGGCCGGGCAGGGCCGTCCCCGCGGGGCCGGGGCGGGGCCGGAGGTGCGCCGGGGCCGCCCCGCTCCGGGCCGGGGTCAGCGCTCCGCCCCAGCTGCCCGGGACAAGGGCCCCGGGGCCGCCGGACAGCGGCGGGGCCCGGGCACGGTGATGTGACCTGAGGCGGTGCCGCATCCCCCGGCTGGGAACCGGCCGGGCCCTGCCGCCCGCATCGCCCTCCCCTAAGAGAGGAGACCCCCGGCCCGGGACACGAGCCATGGTGATGGACACAGAATCCCAAAACACACAAAACAGCCAAATGTGCCCATTCCCCCATCCCGAACTGGTCCGTCTAGTGCCAGCCGAGGGCAGGGTCGATAAAAGCTTTTCGGGGTCACCTCCTTCGCAGGCAGAGCAGGTGCCTGTGCAGGAACAGGGAACCAGCCCCTGACTCTGGAGCACTGTCTGTGCTCCCCGGACAGTCAGGGGAGTGTTTTCGGGAGAGCTCTGATGGACACAACCGGAGTTTTCCATGGCACATGGCAGCAGAGTGGGAGAACACTTTTCCCATTTTGCTCTTTGCTGCTCAGGGAGGTCGTGGAGGGTCGTCCTCCCTCTCTGGAGACATCCCAAACCCACCTGGAAGCGTTCCCGTGTCACCAAGACTCTGTCTTGGCAGGGGGCTGCACAGGACGACCTCCAGAGGTCCCGTTCAACCCCAGCTATTTCTGTGATTCAGTAATTCGGTGATTCATTGGCAGCCACTTGTTGGACACAGAAGTGCCGCCGCGGCGTTATTTCCAGTCAGCGCCTGTTATCAGCCGCCCGCAGGTGCCTTTGGGAAGTGTGCGCAATCAGGAAACCATCGCTCGGCAGCGCAGCAGCGCTTCCCACGCCTCCCGAATCCTCCCCTGGGAGACCCGGGGGACACGGCACGCGTGACATCGAATTACCTTTGGGCAGGGCCCGGCCCGCACTGCCCCCGCCGGGAGCCCAAAGCGCAGCTGTGTTTACGGGAGCAGCTCCGTGTCCTGCTGATAACGCTCCAACCTTTGCACTGCGAGCCACAACAGAGCAATCGCTCCCTCTTCAAACGAGACCTGGCAATGATACCTGTGAAAAACGCCCATCACTTGTTTCTAAAATTTTAAAAGTTTAATAGTAATAAAACGGTTATTAAAAAATAGTAATACAATTAGACTAATAACAATTTGGACAAATTGAATTAGGACAATATGAGACAATAAATACAAAGAGTTACGGATGTCCGGGTACCTTTTTCTGGGCAAGGACAAACGTTAACAAAGGATTAACCCTTAAAAGCAATAGCCCGTTGCATATTCATACACTTCATACATTATGCATAAATTCCATTCAAACACAGGATTCTGTCTGGTCATTGTCAACTTCTTCCTCCAAATCCTAACAGCGCCTTCGAGGCGGGAAGAAGTTTGTTTCTTCTGATAAGAGGGCAATAAATTCTTTTTCTCTGAAAGATTCAGGTGTCCTGTGGCTGCTATCTTGCTGCGAGTCCTTTCTTTAAAAAAAGTATCCTACATAGCATCGTTTCTATTTTAACATTTTGTTATAACCTAGAAATATGTTTAACACAGTACTTAGGAGAATTAATACAGCATTACTTTCTAACATAACACACATAATATTCATGTGAATATTTGCGAAAAGCCAATCACAAAATACACGCATTTTCCACAATACCACTGGGAACAGCTTTTATTGCCGAGATTCCCGGTGCCCGCGGGGCTGCGCGGCTGCGGAGCGGCGCTGTGGGCAGGAGGCAGCTCCAGCCTTTCGCCTCAAACAACTCCGGGTGCTGTGAGGCTCTCGCATGACCTGCTGTACTCCTGGAGCACGGCTCCATCACGCTCCATCTGCCTCCAGCAGGGCCGCAGCGTGCCCGGGGCTGGGGATAAAGAGCGGAGCGAGCGGGCAGAGACATTTCCCCTCCTCTGGTGACTCACGGCTCAGGCGCGTCCCGAGCCAACAATGTGCCTTTGTGCCCGGAGATCTCAATGGATTTCTCTTTCGTGGTCTTGTCTGGTTGGCTTTTGAGCCTGTGTAAAGCCTGTAAATCCTGAAATAATGGATCCCACACAGTTTTGCTGCACCTGGCGCAAAGAAAACGCCTCCCTTTGTGGACATTGAACCTGACATCTGCTGGTTTCACTGCATTGCCCGCCTGCCTTTAGAACAAAACAATAAATCCAACCATTATTCATCCCCTCCCCTGCCAGTCAGGATTTGAGAGCCTTCCATCATTTCTGTCGAGTGCTCCGAGCCCCGGCTGAGTCAGTGGAACCGTGTCAAGGGCTGGGCAGCGGGACTTGGCCGGCGAGCAGAGCCTGGAGCTAATCCCGATGTGTTCGACCCGGGGAACCCCGGCCCAGTGCCCGGGGCTGCTCCCGGGAATCCCGCTCGTGCTTTGGCACAGGAGGGAACGCTCGGTTACAAAAGCCAGGTGTGATGGTGACAGGGCCAGCCCTGGCAGGCTGTGATGGAAAAGTGCCACGGACAGAGCTGGGCACGGACAGAGCCGGGCACGGCTGGTGCGGCTGCGGAGCTGCAGGAGGAGGTGGCAGACATAGCACAGACAGGGGCTGGGGCTGAGGAACAGCCCCAAGTACCCCCAGGGGATGAGGGAACAGGGGGAGAGCAGGGCCCAGCACGACTCTGTGTGATTTCACCTTAAACTCAGCTCCCACTCCAGTTTGTGTCCATTACCCACTGGTGCAACAGAGCACCAAGGCAGAGGGAAGAAACAACAGGGAAAAGTAACCCCTTGTAACTGGGCTGCTCCAGCAAATTTGAATTTGTACCTCCTGGTGCTGATTTAAAACCAGGACACATGGAATGGTTCCAGGATAAAGGATAAAGAATCTGGATGATCTTTCTGGGCACCAGGCCCTCCAGGCACCAGTGGTGCCACAAGGCTGTGCAGTGTGTGGTAAAGGATCAAAGGTGATTTCTGTCATCTGTCACACAGCTGAGGTGAATATGGCACGTCCCACCTCACTGTGGTGGTGGCACATGGAGAATATCCCCAAATGGGGAGGATGGACAAACAGAGCTGAGATCCCAGCGCTGAAGAAAAATGGCCCAAATGACAGAGCTGTCCAGCCTGTTTCTCTTTGTCCTGAGGGGCTGCAGTTACCACATCTATCAGAGGATGATCATGCACGTGACTGTCAGCATTGGAGATAAGGGGAAAATTGCAGCTGGGAGTTCAAGCCAGTGGCAGTTCACTCAAACAGGCCCGGGGGAGAGAAACTTTATCAGAATTCATTCATTGCCTTCTGCCCTCCTGGGGATGTGCTGTTTTGGAGCCGGTCTGTTTTCCCCAGGGGATTACCAGGCCTTTAACCTCCCTTGGATTTCCCCAGAGCCCTGTTCCTGTGTCTGGGAAGGTGCTCAGGGATTAGCCTTCCTCCCAGGAAGAGGCACAATCCCTAATGCGCTCTAAATTCCTTAGCACCCCATGCTCACTAAGCTGCAGATGCTGCTGGAACCTGAATCACTCTGAGCTATCCCTGTCCTATCCCCAGGACTGAATGTGTGGCTCTCACATGGTCCCTTGTTTAATTATCAGGATTTTTTGCTTTCTTCCCCTTTAGCTGCACCTGGGCCTCTTGTCCCTCATGAGCTCTGCTCCTTGTGTTCAGCTGCTGCCATGCAGAGGTGCCCAGTGCCTGTAATCCCTTCACCTGCACCACAGGTTCATCACACCTCATTTCCCTCACACAGCATCTGCCAGGTGCCATTTCCTGGGTTTATAAACTCAGCCAGAGAATGACAATAACAACAACAAAAACGAGAAAAAAGCAGCTTTTCCAGAAACGTTTATTTTTATTAAATCGTGTCTTTAGCCCTAGAAACATTTGTGTACTCGAGGCCTGGTTATCCCACTCAAAGCAGCAGAGCCCCAGAGAAAGCAGAGGTGGCAGAGATGGCAGAGGTGGCAGAGGTGGCAGAGGGCTCCTGAGTCAGGCAGGGCTGGCCCCAGCCCAGGGCAGCAGCAGCAGCAGCCAGAAACCACACTGGGGGTGCTGGGGTCACTGGAACCCCCACCTCACTTTTCCAAGGAGCCAGCCTGCTGCTCCAGGGCCCACTGAGGCTGGGAGAGCACAGTCTTTGCTTTCAAAACTCTCCATTCGCCTCAAGGCCGTTTTGGCCGCAAACCAGCACATCCCAGGGCTCTCTTGTGCCCAGCATTTCCAGCTCCTTATGGCCCTGCGGTGCCTCCAGGGATGGGAGAGCAAGGAGGGCTCTGGGTGCCCAGGCAGGTCTGTGTGGCTGCAGCCGCCCTGCCCTGCACTCGAGCTGGGCTTGGGAAGGAGCAGGACTCTGTCAGCTCCTCTGAACCCACAGAGAGCAGAGGCAGAATCAGCAGAGTGGTTTATCTTCACAAGATTTGTCAGCTGATCAATTCCACTGAGGTGATCTGGGGCTCCCCCCATTATTTTGATAACATGGCTTTTTTTTCTGTAAAAGCTGAAAGAAACTCGCTCAATCATCTCAGAGTTTAGGGGCATTACTGGATATAACCTCTCCTTCTCCACATTCACCAGACCCATTGTCACCCTTTCCTGTTCTCCTTGCTACTCAGGCACCGAGGTTTCTGTTCAGAAACTGCTGATGTCCCCTCACTCTGCAGAAGCAAAGGGAACTGGAAATGAAAACTGGAGCCTGAACTCCAAGGGGAAAAAAATCCCAAAAGGGCCCTGGCTCCCAGCCCTGGAGAGCTAAGGTTGCATCGCTGCTTGGCATCACAACTGAAGTCACCCAGTTCCAGGAATAGAGTTATTAAAGAACAACAGGAAATACACAGCAGAAAAGCTGCAGCCCATCCAGCACGTTTGGGAAGGACTCCAGCCTGGTTCCCTGGGATGGGGAGCACCAAATCCCCCGGGTTCCTTCAGCCTCCCCCAGCTGAACCC